CTAACTGGGAGTGGCATAGCTTTTGAAACCTCAAAGGCCACCCTCAGTGACACATCTCATCTAACAATGTCACACCACTTAATCTTTACTAAACAATTCTACCAAGTGGGGACAAAGCATTCCAGTACATGAGCCTATGGGGCCATTCTCATTCAGACCACCACACTTCTCCACTAAGGTCTATAATTTGCACAGCTGTGGGTTTTCACCCAGGTTTGATGTACTAGACAGGAGTCCTCTCCTTTGGTATAGGCCTCAACTCCAATAAAAAAGTGGCCTGTTAACTCGATGGCAGTGATACCAACACTGCACAAGCAGACATACCTTCCCTGGCATGTTATTGTGGGGCACACGTGTTTACAGATGAGTAAATTGTTGATGAAAAATTTTCTGCATAAAGTCTTCATAGCACTTTCCAGTTCTGTGAAAGATAGACAGTGCAGAGAAAGTTTCAAGCTTAATCTTAGCTCGATTTCTCTATATCCTGGTAGCAGAGCATGTGATATGTTCTTACTGGTAGTTCTGGTTGGAAACCATAAGCAATGGTATGGACAACTTGGCAAGGTCTAGAATCACCTAAAATACAAATCTCCAGGCCTATCTGTGAGGGTTATTTATATTAGTTTAGTTTCTGAGCATGACTGTGAAAAGATCTTGATTAAGATGAACTAGGAAGATACCTTAGAAAGGACAGCACCATATTCTGGGCTTGTGTTCTGGACAAGATAATAAGAAGGAAGCTAGAAAAGTATATTGAAGCATTTATCTAATTATTCTTTATGAATAAAAAAATGGCATCAGTTATTGGGGTTAAGAATCTGAATGATCAGAGAAGCAGCAGAGCAGCCACCAGTGACCTTCTATCTCTTCTCTTTCCCCATCCAAAAAGCCTGAGATCCTCTCTCAGCCCCTCTTTACTACTTCCTGTCTCTCTATCTTCAGTCCTCCAAAACCTCTATGGTTAATTTTGGTCAGCTAGTGGCTAGTTCTGCCCTCTGACTTAAAGCAAATTGTATAGTCAGAATGCAACCAAAATATCATGCAGCAGTATATTAGTTACTTTTTGTTGCCACAATAAAGTAAAGAGTTTATGTGGTTTATGGTTCCAGAGGGAAAGTCCGTAGTGATGGGGGAGGCGTGGCAGAAAACAGAGAGAGTGAACCGGAAGCCTATCCTCAGTGATGTATTTCCTTTAGCAAGGATCCACCTCCTAAAGGCTCCATATCATCCCCAAATAGGTCATTAACTGGGGACCAAGTGTTCAGTCATATGAACCTATGGTAGACATTTCTCTTGTATTTTTTTTTTCCAGACAGGGTTTCTCTGTGGCTTTGGAGGCTGCCCTGGAACTAGCTCTTGTAGACCAGGCTGGTCTTGAACTCACAGAGGTCCACCTGCCTCTGCCTCTGCCTCCCAAGTGCTGGGATTAAAGGCATGTGCCACCACCGCCCAGCTACGGTAGACATTTCTCATGGAAATCACCACATTCTACATATCATAATGTAGAGTGTATTTAGCCTAACTTGAAAAGTCCACATAGTTGTTCACAATTTTGAGAACTGTTTAAAAGTCTAAAGGAAAAAGTCTTTTCTGAGACTCTTAACCCATAGTAAAAAAGAAGAACCAAAACAAGTTACATAGTTCTAACACACAATGGCATAGAATGTACATTCCCATTCCAAATGAGAGAAACAGGAGCATAGTGAAGAAACACTGAACAAAAGCGAGACCAAAATCCGGCAGGACAAGTTCTAAGTCCAGTGTCTAGATACTTAATTTCAAAGGGCTTAGATTGGCTCTCTGATTTCAGACTTGCCACATGCAACATACATCTCCCTAGGCGGTTCAGTTCCTTCTACTCAGCTCTCCTTTGGCTGATGTCTTATGGCCCTGGCACTTCCTACATCTTGGCGTTCCCAATGAAATTCAGGCTTCCCTTTCACAGCTCTATGCAAAGAACTCTGAAGGCCTCCTGGACTCAAAGACACTTCTTACAGTGACTCCAGCACTGGCACACATTTGGCTGACCCATGTCTTTCTGAAACTACAGAGGAAGAATCTATGACCCCATCACTCTTGCATCTCTAATGCCTCCAAAGTCAGCACTACATGGGACTGTGCCAGCTTGGGACAGACCCTGGCCCACTTTGACTATAGCAGCTTTTTATGTTGAAACAACTGTTTTTTCTCTTAGGCTTTCTCCTTTCTCCTTTCACAAGCTGGAAGCTTGGGATCTTGCTCTTGAGCACATTTCCCATCGTTCTAAAGAAGACCAAAAAGTCTTTCCTTAATGGCTCCAATCTCCTTAACAATTACAGCCTTTCTTTAAACACATGCCTTGGTTGCAAAACATCCTAGTGATCTTGTATTTTTTTCTCTGCAAACTTTACATTTTGCATTTCTTTCTGCTCTATTTGCTCTTTTTCACTGCAAACCTGCATAAGAGTTTTCAGTAATACAACCACACCACCGACTCAATGTTCTTCTGTTTTGAAATGTTCTTTGCTAAAGACATTAGTCTATTGCCTGTTAGTTTAGTTCAGTGGTTCTTAACCTCCCTAGTCCTGCAGCCCTTTAACACAGTTCCTCATGTTGTGGTGACCCCTCCAACCATAAAATTAGTTTTGTCGAGACTTCATAATTGTAGTTTTGCTGCTGTTATGAATCATAATGTAAATATCTGTGTTTTCTGATGGTCTTAGGTGACCCTTGTGAAAAGGTCATTTGAACTCCAAAGGGGTTATGACTCACGGCTGAGAACCACTGATTTAGTTTCATGTAAATTCTCAGGATATGGGCAGAAAACAGCCATGTTCTTTGCCAAAAAATTTGTAGCAGAGGTCTGTAGCTCAGCTGCTAATATAGTTTTCCTCTGAAACCTCATGAGTTAGGTTGTGGATGTACAGATTAAGATGCGCAGGACCAGGATAATATAGGTTAATTTTATCCGGGGAGAAGTCACTTACATGAGAACCAATAACCCACAAGTTCCAGCTCTGAGGATCAACCCCTAGCTGCTCTCTGTGACCCTACCAGAACACAGAGTGAGCAAGCCTGTCTCGGACCCCAGACCAAATCCCACACACTCACGTATGCACCTGTGAGCATGCCCAGTCGGGCGTGGTCAGTTCCACAGGTGCGCCTGGTAGAGCTCTCACTTTCGGTCTCCATCGTTTGCAAGGCTCTCAGCACTACTGTCATTCAGACTCCCATTAGAAAGGCCTATTAAGCTCTGTTTACAGCAGTAATAACTTTTCCAGTCCAAAACTTCAAAGTCTTCAACTTTCCTCCAAAAACATGTTCAGATTCTTTATAGAAACAACCCACTCCCTGGTATCAACTTCTGTATTAGTTACTTTTCTGTTGCTGTGATAAAAATAGTGTAACAAGAGAAACTTATAGAAGTTTGCCTGAGCTCACAGCTCCAGAGAATACATAGTGGTAGAGGAGACATAGCAGCAGGGAGCTGGAACAGGAAGTTGAGGCACTGTTTCTTTAACTGCAAGCAAAAATCAGAGTATGCAAACCGGAAGTAGGATGAGGCTGTGGATTCTCAAAGCCCTTCCACCGTCTAAATAGTGCCACCGGCTGGGTACCAAGTGTTCAAAATACCTGAGCCCATGGGAAACATTTCTCTGTCGAACCACTATAGACCACAATCCAAATGAATCTTCACTTGGTTTTTTTCTTCTTAGTCTGCGTCTCTAATGTACACCCCACCTTCAGTGCTCTAAATCTATTTAGACTTCCTTGCTTAACATATCCTTACTGAAGAAATCACTTGAACTTCTTTTAGTTATCTTGGGTTACTTTTCTTGCCACTTTTATAGCTGACACTGCTTCTTTGATGTTTATATTTTTTACTAGACAGAAACAGTAACTATTGATCTAGTTCCCTGCAGGTGCCTAGTATACCCACAATGCCTATCATTTTGTGACAATTAAACAGTTCATTAATGCTGTTGTTGAAGGTTGTGATAACCACCATGAAGGAGGAGCTGGAGACCTCACAGACAAAATCTTCGCTGTGGGATCTGTTCCGTACACCCAACATGCGCAAGCGGATGTGTCTCCTGTGCCTTGTGAGGTAAGCATCACATGATGCCTGTGAAGATAGCTTGAAGATAAAATTTCTCACTGATATATTTGGAGATAAAAAGTGAGGAATTTCTGGAGCTGGAGGTAGTCAAAGGGTTTAGAACATAGGAACACAGACTAATTGTACAATGAGGGGTGTGTTCCTCAACCGCCTACTGGGTTTAGCATTGGAGATTGATGCCAAGAACCTCTGTCATGGTACAAACTTGGTTCCTGAGTATGTATATTTGTCTGTTTCGATTTCAAGAGACATAAAATCTTGAAATTGAGGTGCACAAATGTAAACATCTCAATGAATACATATAGTTATATAACCATCAACCAGCTCAAGACACAGTGAAAATTCTAAAACTCTGGAAGAAATCATCATGTATCCCATAAACTCTACTACACCTTCAAAAATTCAGTAGCAATGCTGTGTCCCATCATCATACAATGTTTTATTATGGCTATAAAATTATCATTTACATCAACTATTCCAGAGAGCAAATTATAAGCATGCACAGATAAACTAACAAACACAGCCATTCTCCTTGGAGAGAAAGAACAGTTTAATAAAAACATTCTGCCCAGCTGCCTTGGACAGTGGCGGACAGCAGCAGCTGCAAAAGCTTGTCGGTTTCCTGTGCGCTGATGGCAAGAGGAGGCTGCTCGAGTGGTTAGCCAGGGGGAATCAGGTAGTTAGCTTGGAGACTCTGTCAGACAGATCAGGTGAGGAGAGCTGTGGTCAGCAATGTTCATGCAACCTTTAAGGATGTTTCCTAGAAAACCCCAACTCAGGTGGGGGTCAAGTCAGTGCCATCAGCTCTGCCACCTTGGGACCTGCTTTGGGGACCTAACATTCCAGCCTTTTGTTGATGATAAGCCAAGGTTGACCTCTGACTACTTCCAGCTAAGTGGGGACATTGCCAAAGGGAGTCTGGAATGTTGGGCCAAAGCAGGAGGTCAAACCAGCAGGCAATGGTAGGAGACCTGAGAGAATTCTGTCAGAAGTGTTTGGTTCACTGAGTAATGGGTCAGTTCACTAATTCTTAGCTGGAAGAATCTGAAGAGACAGAGGGCAATTGTTCCTATGACTAGGATAGAGGTCAGAGGGCTGAGGAGAGGCAAGAGTCCAAAGGAGACTGTAGTGAAGCTCTGCATTGGCGTCTCCTCCCAGAGGTGTGTTCTGTGTGCCAGCTCACATAGGTTCTTAGAACTCTTGTTTACCTGGCCAGATTGGCTTACATAATAACAGAATAATCTATTGAAGAAGAGACAGATGTCTGCTTTCTCAGCAGTTAGCAAGTCAAGGGCCTTGTGGTTTTGCAGGACCACTGAAGCTAGAGAGGTGAGCTAGTTCTGGAGTCATAGTAGAGCCAAGGTTGATTTCCACATAGAATTTGCCAGCTGGGCAGAGATACAGACTGTGGATAGAAGGTAAAGTTAGGGACATATATTTGAAACTTTCAGCCCTGGTGGTTGGGAGGGTGGAAAGGAGCCCTGAGACCAGGGGATGGAAAGGACCGGCTCCCAGTGAGTGACAGGTGGCAGGCAGGGGAGCTTAAGCTGCTCCCTGACTGGAATACTTATCAGACAAGGGATCTGGAGCAGGTTTCAACTGTGGCAGATGAAGCCAAGTCGTGACTCCCAGACGCTTACATGAATGTGTTAAAGTCGACAAGAAGAGCTCATCTGTCCCACTGCCTGTTTTCATCAGCATTGGAATCCTCACTGTAGGGAAAGCAGTTAGTAAGTGTCTGCAAAAAGCTCAAGCAGGTGCATTCCTTGGAGTCATAGCAAAAACAAAGCCTGAAAAGTTGTCAACATAAGCATGAGCATTCGTCTGTAAGAAGATTGAACCTTCCTGGCAGAAAAGAGAGCAAAGAGAAGGGAGTGCTTGAGGGCTTGGAGTGTGGGTCTGGGACAGAAATATGGACACTCTTTCCCTGGCCTGTTGTCCTTACATCACCACTAGAGGAGGACTGGGTAGATACAAGTTGAACAGAGATGTCTCCAGCACAAGGGGAAGTACTTTATTTTAATTAAGTTTTATTTTTCATTTATTTTACATCCTGATCACAGCTTGCCCTCCCCACTCCTCCCATTCCCTCCCTCCATTCCCCCTCTGCCTCTCAGCCCCAATCCACCCCTCTTCCACCTCTGTTCAGAAAGGGGCAGGTCTCCTATGGGTGCCAACGAAGTATGGCAAAATCAAGTTAAAATAGGACTCCTCTCCTTGTATTAAGGCTGGGTAAGGCAACCCAGCATTAGGGACAGGTTCCCAAAAGCCCACCAAAGCATTAGGAACTGGCCCTGCTCTCATTGCCAGGAGTTCTACAAGGGGACCAAGCCACACAACTGTCACACATATGCAGAGGGCCTAGGCTGGTCCCATGCCAGCTCCCTAGCCATCAGTCTGCAGTCTCTGAGCTCCCATGAGCAGGCCAGTTGCTTTTGTGGGTTCCCTTCTAAGAACCTGACCTCCCTGTCTCACACAATGCCTCCTCCCTCTCCTCAACAGGGTTCCTCAGGTTCAGCCTAGTGCTTGGCTATACATCTTTTCCATAAGTTACTGGACAAAGGCTCTCCAATGAAAATTGGGGTAGCTACCAGTCTGATTAGAGGATACGGCCAATTGAGGCTACCTTTCCACAATGGCTAGCAGTCTTAGCTGACTGAGGTCATCCTTGTAGATTTGTGGGGGTTTCTACCTGACCCCAAAATGCTCTCTCCTCAGGTAATCTCTTTTATTACATTTCCCCTTCATTCACCCCTCAATCCTATCTTTTAAAACTCCATATTTAGAAAAGAAAACATCCAAAGGAAGTTTTAAAATTTTGTGCCTGTGATTATGATAATTTTAATTGTCTTTTAAAAAAGTTTTAATAACCAGTGCTGGTAAGTTATTACCAAGACTAGATTAATATATCTTATCAGAACTCAATTGATTAATATGTTAAATTTTGGATTTCAAAGTTTTTTATACATTTTATTTTAATAGAAACAATTTTATACATTTTATTTAAATTAAAAACTATCTAATTTCCTTCTTCCTCCCATCAAAATCTGTCAAGTCACTTGGGGCAGGGCCTAGACACTCCCCCTATGGCAACTCTTGTAACATAGTTTGTGCAACAAGCCCACAGCTACTCTGAAAAGGTCACACCTCCTAGTAGTGCCTCTCTTAATGACCAAACAGTCAAACATGAGCCAATGGAGGCCATTCCTGATCAAATCACCACACAGACATACCAGAAAGTCTCAATTTAATTCTAAAGAAGACAGCCTTATATCTTTGCCCAAGGAATGCTCTAAATTCTGTGGAAACTCCTTCGACCATAAGATCAGGTCGGTGCAACTGGGGCAGAATTACATACAGCTGGCAGGGAGGCACAGGCTAGAGTGGCTGAAGTCTCAGGTTCGAAGTCAAGTTAGAGATAGGGACTTTCTGGAGTGGAGAGTAAAGAAAGTGTAGACATAAAGGATGTAAATATTTTCTCCCATGGTGGCAGACGTTGTTACAGTCTGTGTGAATCGGGAAGCTGGATGCACCGTGTTCTGGCCATTGAGATAGATTTCTAGTCTGCACTAAACATAAGACAGTGAGGGCCCAATGAGATGTCTGAGTGTTGGGAGAGGAAGGAGATTTATGGTGGCAGGGAGGAGGAGTAGGAACATCTGGCCTAGAGTGGGAGGAGCTTATGGTTGATGAGATGATGAAGCCCTGAGGAGGGAGCGGCAGAAGAGGAATCCCACTATCAGGGATAGAAAATGGTTAGGAAAAGTCTTTCCTTCCAAGTCCAGATACTGGGAACTGTGACTAGTAGATCTGGTAGAAGGAGGAGACCAGTGGCAAACACAAATGCAAGGAGCTAGGGATAACAGAGCCTTAGGCTCTGTAGAAGAAGGGGGCTGTGAGCAGGGGTGGGGTGGGGTAGGGTAAGTGCCTCTGGATGGAAACTCAATCCAGGGGTTGTCCCTAAAGGAATTGAAGTTTGTCAGGAAAATTCACAGATTTTTTTTTTTTTATTAGTTCAAGTTAGGGAACAAGCGTGTTTCACATGTAAGTCCTTCTCCCTCTCCCTCCCCTTACTCCCAACCCTCCTCACCCACCCCCAACCTTCCCCCAACCCCATCCACCAACCACTCCCCAGGCAGGGTAGGGCCCTCAACGGGAGCTCTGCAAAGTCCACTAAATCTTCCTGTACTGGCCCTGGGCCCTTCCCCATATGTCCAGGGCCAGAGTGTAACCCTTCACTCTGGGTTCTCAAAGGGATGGGCTCTCAAAGTCCCTTCTTGCACCAGGGAAAAATACTAAT